ACGTACTTTTCCTGCAGCTGACTTACAACTAGTTTTTACCAGCCGAAATATGATTAGACAATGCGTCAAGGATAGATTACCGCTTTTGTCCACATCCATGTGTATTTACTCTTTTACCTGCTCTTGTGGAGCTGTTTATATTGGACGTTGTAAGCGTAATCTCCGAAAACGTGTAGCTGAACACTATCCGGTTTGGTTAATAAAAGGCGAACGTAGAACAGCAAAGTCGTCTATTTGTGATCACCTGTTAGAGTCTGGTCATTCAGCCCCACGTGATTCATCCTTCAAAGTTATCTACATGGCAAAATCGAATCGATCCAAACGTTTACGTTTTTTTCACTTATGCATAGCCGAAGCTTTAGCTATACATGAACAGAAACCTAAATTATGTGTTCAAAAACGTTTTGTCAAACCCCTTTCTTTACCTTGGTCATAGTAATGTTCCTTCTAGTTTTTATTTTACCACTTGAATTCTTTCCACTTCACTTCACATCTTCATTCTTATGGTAATCGTACTCTTATTTTTTTAAACTTTTAGACAAAACTTGACATTTTTAAAACATTTTTGATTTCAATTCACTTATAAAACAATCTTTAATAATTTTGTAATTTATCCACTTCAACTCTACCTCTTATAACATTTTAATTATCGTTATTCTTCTCACATATATGTATATTGACTGAGCAATTATTTAGTGCCACTTAATGACCTTTTTTGACTTTATATTTTGATGATTAATATAAATCCGAATGAATCTGCTGAAGAAGCTGTGATGGCTTACACAGCGAAACGTTCAGAAAACAGATCTTGTTTTGATTTTTTTTAACACGCTGGGATTAATTTAAATAATTTATAATGAATAATACTGTGTCTTTGATAGACAAACTAATATGGAGTACCAACACTTTTAATTGCAAAAGTACCAACTATGGTAGAAAAGCGAAAAAGCTGCATTACAACTGAATTTAATTATTTTGTTTTGAGTTAATTTAAGAACCACTGTGTTTGTGTGTATTACACACGCCTACACAATAATCAGCGCATTTATTTGAACAAGACAAAAAGAAAAATTTCACTACTGTTCTTACTACTTAAAATACTACTTATATACTACTTATATATACCCCAACTTAGTTGCACATCAAAAGAAACAAGGCAAAGCAAGGCAATTCTTTTCTTCTACGTCAATCTCGTTGATGCACAACTACTAACATGGATACACGTACGCACACACAGGCATGTAACAGTTGTGTAAAACACGAATATTAGATTGAGTACAGTGGAGTATATGTTAATGTGCACACACGCACACGCACGCCTACAAACACATATATAAACATACATATTCGATCATTCTCCGTCTTTTTACCTATGATATAGTAGAATATTGTTAACGTAATATATATATATATATATATATATTTGAAGGAACAAGAAAACCAGCTGTATACCTTAGAAATATGTGTTGTCATTATATTACAACATTTTATTTTTATATTAATGATGTTTGGTTGAATATCTATCTATCCATCCATCAAGGGTATTTATGAAAAAAAAGTATTCCTCCTTTCTGTAATCCACACAGCTAATATTGTATTGCACAAATGTACACTAATGCCAACACCCAAAACGTAATCAATAATTAATTCCGATAGAGAAAGAAAGACCAAAGATGCTTCCCTGCAGCCAAGCCGGTGACACTATATACAGCACTACATGTTCTATAAGCCAATCGAAACTGGATAAATACCCTGCTGATGTTACCTCCAACTGCATTTATAAATTTACGTGCACCTGCGGCAGCAAGTACATCGGAAGGACAGAAAGAAGGGCTTCTATCCGGTTTTCAGAGCATATTCCGAGAAACTTATGCTTAAAAGGAAGCAAATATTTACAAAGTGCAATTACCAGACACATTGTGGATACGGGTCATTTTGTTGAGATTTCCAAATCCTTCAAAATATTAAACATACAAAGGACAGCGAATCTACTACGATTTGCTGAAGCAATTGCAATCAAACGTCTCAGACCAAACTTATGCACACAGACAGAGAGAGTGCAGTCAATCTCTCACTGCCTTGGTAACCATACCACTTTCATTACACTGGTTAGTCATACACACTAGTGAGCTCAGCTCACTAAGCAAGTTTTCAAATTGATGAACTTTGACCTTCTTGAGTTGCCATGTTGACACTGTTTATTAGATTTTTCTGTCTTCTCTCACCCCCATTTTCTTCCTTTTTTCATAGTTTGATAGTATATAAATTGATGGTAACTTAAGCTACAAAAATTTTAATCCTTATATTCCGGATGCGTTTATCTTATAATGCTTTCTGTATTACCTTTCAAACAATAAAGTATGAAATGTTATTAATTATAACTATTGTAATTTCAGGTAGTTTGCATCTGATGAGAACCTGTGAAATAGAATGATATCATTTTATACTGCAAATCTGGTCTTTCTTTCTCTATCGAAATTTATCAAGGGAACCAAATGTATGAAATAATTAATTCCTTTTAACAATACCATAGTATATCACTCATATCTGTAGACCAGGGAAGATAATTTATTTAATTGAATTTTAGATTGGTTACAGGATTTCATCATGACCAGCTGACATTGGTTAGAGAACCATTGGAAAACCTGCCAGGGAATACTGGACAGCTGTTTCGTCAGCCTAGTTTGGAACTCTTCAACATTACGCACCCACGTCGCGGGATTCGAACCCAGAACCTTCTGGTCACAAGGCGAGCTAGTAGACCATAAAGCCACTGAGACTCAATCCAATGGTTCATGAATTCTAACTTCTGCCAATTCACGACATAGCGCGACCACTAGCCAATGTCTTCGGCGAGTATTTGTCCTCACACCCGACCTGCCGCATGAATTGGCAGAAGTTAGAATTCACGGGCTATTGTATTGGGTCCCAGTGGTTTAATGGTCTACGAGGTTGCTGGTCTTGTAATCAGAAGGTCCTGGGGTTCGAACCCTATCGGTGGGTGCGTACTGATGAAGAGTCTCGAAATAGGACGAAACAGTTGTCCAGTACTCCAGGTTTCCCAATGATTCTCTAACTAACGTCAGCTTATGATGAAATCCTGTAACCAATCAAATCTCTAGAAACCGACACTTGAATTTTAGGTTTTCCCGTCGATTGATTGGACCGAATTAGTGCTGGGTCTCACGTAGACATGTCGGCTTCTTGTGTAGATGCTTCGACGATATCTGGGCATGTAATTAGGATTTAATTGGTGGATGGTGACTACCAGTGGAATCCAGCGAGGATGCGCATTTCGTCCTATTTGCGACTCGTCCTCCTGCCGGATGTACCTGCATTCCCCAGTGAGTCAGTGATGATGTTCCCACCACGGAGGCTCGAACCCAGTGCCTATAGTTTCAAACGCCGAGGCGTTATCGACTAGACCACTTAGGGACAAGAAGCCGACATGTCAACTTGAGACCGAGCACTACTTCGGTTCAATCAATCGACGGGGGGAAAATCTAAAATTCAATTAAATAATTGATATGAACCGTTGCACAAGAGGTGGCTCTCGTGGCCCAAGTGGTCTAGTGGATAACGCTTTGGCGATTGAAACTATAGGCACTGGGTTCGAGCCTCTGTGAGAACATCATTACTGATTCCCTGGGGAATGTAGGCAAATCCAGCTGGGAGACGAGTCCCAAATAGAACGAAATGCGCATCCTGGATTCCACTGCTAGTCGCCATCATCCACCAATTAAAAAGGAAGACAACTATTCATGTTACCCAGTTATATTGCTTAGTCGACGGTTTGATGGATCAATAAAATAATGTATTTTTAGAAGACCTACTTGAAGAGGACAGAATCTTAATTACCACACAGTTTCTACTCTGTTCGGTATCAAAGAGCCTTAGTAAAGTGCCTCTTCAGTAAAATCCAATGAATATGCACTGAAGACACACTTGATGAGGAAGAAAGAAAGTTGATAGAAACTCTGGTTGACAGTAATTATCCAAACAAGTTCATAAAGAGGAGTAAGTTGGTCATCAATGGAGCACCAAGACCCACTCTCCAACTCATCACTAAGAAAGACGTATATATCAAGCTACCTTGTATGGGCGATTCGCAGAGCCTTTACTAGAATCACCAGCGATATATTCACCTCCTTACATACATCTCTGGTGAGGTCAAAACTGGCAAACTGTATCCAGACAGCTAGTCCTTGTCTCAAAGGGGATTCACATATTCTAGAAAGGGTTCAAACGAAGAGAACACGTATGATTCTCGGCATGAATAACTTATCATACGAGGAAAGACTAGACAGCTTTAATCTCTTCTCACTATCATAGCGTAAGCGGAGACGAGATTTACAATGTTACAATGTTTAAAATTTTACATAATGACTACGGACCTGGTCTATTCTCTCTTTTTCTTCAAAAGAGGTATTCAGAACACTTCAGAGGACATAGCAGGAGAGTTCAAAAGCCAAGGAGGAACCACCCTATCGCTGAGTCATCAACTCCTGGAACCTACTCCCCGAAGAAGGAGAAGTGATGTCAGCGCGCCCTTAATTGACTTATTCAAGAAGGGTTTGGACAAGCACAGAAATTTATCAGAAATGAGATTAACATAGGCTTCAAACCTTCCATGGTCAATCAACAAATCGAAATATTTCCTGGACGAAATATTCTTACCAGAGTTCCTGGGGAGCCATCTGATCTTCAGTAAGGATCCATAAATATAACACATAATAATTGACTGCTAGTCATATAACCAAAATGACGTCAATCAGGGGAAGAGAGAGACAGCCACTGGAAGGTAGAGAGTACTGAACACTAGTCTGTGAGTCCTCAGAAGGATGCACCCAAGACCTCAGTCAATGGCTGTCTAGCGGTAATCCCTCATCCTCAATAGAACTCTAATTGATGTGGGCAGAAAAATATTAAATCTCTACAAATTAACACATGAAAAGAATATATATATATATATATATATATATATAAGGATGAAGCATTACTTGGAGTCGCCTGGATAGAATTCATGCGAGCTTGTTGTTCTTTCTCCCGACGATCCAGTTCAGCTGCACGAGCTTCAAGTTCAGCTTGTCTACGTTCCAACGCCAAGATGCTTTCATTGCCAGCTGTAGCTTTAGTATAGGGTGGATTGAGTTCCATCTGTGGAAGTGGTGGTGGGGGAATATCCACTGCATAACTGGAACTTCGATCATCCAGAGCTGAATCTTTACTAGTTGGTGTTAATGTTTCATATCCTGCAACAAAAGCAGCAAAAAATGGGGGAATAACCAATAACTGTGAATTACTATATATAAATTATACATTTATTATTATTACTATTGTTACTATTATTATTATTATGAGGGCTAGTTTCGCATATGACAGTTTACGCCGTCTCTGGCATAGACGCGATATCCGACTATCAACCAAAGGGTGTGTGTGTACTGCTCAACAGTCCGCTTCGTCCTCCTTTATGGCTATGAGACCTGGCCATTGAGAGTGGAAGACATGAAAAGATTAGCTGTCTTCGATCATAGGTGCCTGCGTTCTATCTCCCGTGTGAAGTTGTATAATGAGGTGAACAATATTGAGGTTAGGTGTCGAGTGCTAGGTAAGGAGGGGAAATCAATCGACGAGGCTGTGAAATTACATCGACTGAGATGGTTAGGACATGTGCTACGTATGCCTGGTCATCGTCTTCCTCGACAATGGGCAATGTTAGCTGATATAGGGTCAGGTTGGAAAAGAGCAAGAGGTGGTCAAACCAAAACATGGCACCAGTCAATGAAATACACAACAGTTGGTCTAAGCCACATAGGAAGATGTAGACTTCCTGGTTGGGGTCCTCGGGACGGTAAAAGCCAATGAAGGCTGGAAACAATTGGTGACATGGCTCAAAATCGTCCTCAGTGGATGACGCAGATGCATCCACTCCTTGTGACTTACGATTTCCAATGAAACTGTTTTGTTCTTCGTTATTACTATTCCTTTGTCTCACACCTCTATTTACTGTCTCTAATTTGCATTTCTCCTACTTTCTTCTCTTGCTTTGTGTGCTACATGGAGTGTGGCGACTTGAACTGCCGCACATATGTGCAAAGTTCTATGTCGAAAACAGACAGACATTATTATTATTATCCTCTTAAGTTCCGATTAGGACATAGGGCTTCAACACTCCATCACCATTTTGTCCTGTTCGTTCTCTGAAGTCTTTCTCAGCCTTGCCCATGACTCCGCATAAACTTTCGTCTCCTTTATGTCACCTTTCGATGCCCCACTCCACGTTACCCATTCGGGTTCCACTCGAGCGATATCATCCAACGGTCTTTTCAGCGTGTGTCCAACTCACCTCCATATGCTTCGGAATATTCCCCTGTTGAACCAACTAGTTCTGGTTTGGTTAGTCTTTAGAGTTAATCCTTTCTCAACGGCCATTTGATCTTCAGGATGGAGCCAGAGAAAACAGCTGTTCGAAATGCTTTTCGTGACACACACACACGCCGTTTCTAACTTATGCAGAAGAAATGACTGAATGATTAGTTTCAGCGTAGAACTTTGCACAGATGTAAGGCAGTTCCAGTTGCCATACTTACTCCATACACCACACAAAGCAAGAGAAGAGAGTAGAGGGAAGTTCAAAAGATAGCTAAGAAACAGAAATGTGAGTGAGGGAAAAACGAATAGTAATATCGAAGAACACTATAGTTTTACCGATCAGCACCAACGGATTGATTGGTGACGAAATCACAGCACGGATCCAGAAAGTTCGGGCTGCTTTCGCTAACTTACACCGTCTCTGGTGTAGGCGTGACATCCGACTATCAACCAAGGGACGTGTGTACTGCTCATCAGTTCGCTCCGTCCTTCTCTATGGCGGTGAGACGTAGCCATTAAGAGCGGAAGACATGAAAAGATTGTCTGTTTTTGACCACAGATGTTTACGATCTCTTTCTCGCGTTAGGTGGTATAATAAGGTAAGTAATGTTGACGTTAGGCGTAGAGTGTTGGGCAAAGAGGCAAAATCACTCGAAGAGGCTATGAAGTTACACAGATTGAGATGGTTAGGTCACGTGCTGCGCATGCCTAACCATCGCCTCCCCCGACGGACGGGCATTACTAGCTGATATAGGTGCAGGTTGGAAAAGAGTAAGTGGTGGCCAAACAAAAACATGGTATCAATCCATGAAATCCCTGACAGTTAAACTGAGTCAGGTAGGGAGGGGGATGCAGACTACCGGGTTGGGGCCCGCCCTCGGGACTCTAAGAATCAATGGCTGGAGACAATAGGTGACATGGCTCAAAATTGTTGTCAATGGCTTACGCAGATGTATTCAGTCTCTGTAATCTTTATTGATATTCCTTTCTACCATTACTCATTCTGTTTCACTCATATTTGACAAAACCCTATTGATTCTCTTTACTCATTTTCCTGTCTACCTTTGTGTGCTATTTGGAACGTGGCAACTCGAACTGCTGCACTTCGGTGCCAAGTTCTATGTTGAATCCAGCAGCAGCAGCATAGTTTTACCGGATATTACAAGTCAGAAAGAGTGAATACATCTGTGCCATTGAGAACTATTTTGAGCTATGTGACCAATTGTCTCTATTGCCATTGATTCTTACCGTCCAGAGGACCCCAACCAGTCAGGAAATCTACACCTTCCTTGGTGGCTCAAACCAACTGTTGTGGATTTTATTGACTGATACCATCCTTTGTTTTGATAACCACTGTCTCTTTTCCAACTAACTTTACATAAGTGTTGAAAATCCAAATTTTGTTGTTTATGCTAAGTGAGTGCAGAAGATTTCCAAGCTGATTTCAGAGTGATGATGAAGGTCTGTTTCTAGCCTTTTCCTATTCGGCTTTTGACATCCTCCTCCTTGGGGTCGGCTGTAGTTGAAACAAAGATTCCTAGATAGGTGGAGGAAATGACCTCATTCAGACGTCTTCCAATGATGTCGTTGTCGGTTGGTTATCTTCATCACCTGCGTCTCCTCTATGGTTCACTTGAAGTCCTGTCTTTGATGCCAGACAGTTTGTTGGTTTCCTTAAGGACATCTTAAAGTCATTAAGATACGAGGAATCAGTAGTATCAAGTCTTTCTACAGCATAGATTACCATCAGTCACGTAGGTAGGCACATACTCATTTCTTCCATTCATGTAATTTCTGAACACATTATCATTATCTCAATGGGGTTTATTTTCTATCTTCTCCAACAGAATTCTACTAATCTGTTCGCTATATGCTGCTACAAAGTATTATTATTACTAGAGAAGATTTGTAGCTCAGGTGGGTGATTTGCAATTAATACTGTTCTCTGAGCTGGTTGGTTTGGTTGCGGAGCTTTCGCCGTGGAGATGGATTGGACACTCGCTGAGGAGGCCGCTGGGTGACATCGCGCGTCAGGCCCTCAAGTGGAACTCGAAAGGAAAGTGGCGAGTGGGCTATCCAAGGGTGACATGGAGGAGATTGTGTGAAGAGGAATTGAAACAGTATGGACTAACATGGATGCAAGTGAAAAGTACAGCAAAAGACAGAAGCAAGTGGAGGCGTGCTGTTGAAGCCCTATGTTCCACTAGGAACCCCAAGGGAACAATAATATAATAATAATAATACCATGGAAGACATTATTGCATAGGTAGAATAGCCTATCTTAATCAAAGAAGAAGAAGCAACTAGCGGAGAAGATCGGATCACCTACCGTTTCACGGACTAAGTGGTTTTTAGTCATGTGATTCACTAACTTAGGCTTAGCGACGCATTTGAAGTCAAGGCAGGAGTAAGACATGGCTACCTATTATCCCTGGTAAACTGGGTCACGCAACATACCAGCAGGGGACCAAGAAAACGGACACACGTTGGACTGAAAAAAAGACTGTAGAAAAGTCTGTGGTGACATTATTTGTGCTAACAGATTTTGAAAGTATGAATCTCAGGTCTAAAAATTCTTATCAATTCTGAAATAATAATAGAGAAGATTTGTAGCTCAGGTGAATGATTTGCAATTAATAGTGTTCTCTGAGGAGTTGGTTGGTTTAGTTGCGAAGCTTTCGTCGTCCCACTGCTGGACAACATCCCTCTTCAGCGCAATTTTTAGTATAAAGTGAACTGATTTAAATTTGCCATGAGCGATAGATAGAATTGCGTCTCCCGGTAACCATCTTTACATCTGTATTGATCATTTTCTACTCAATTGGATTTTAAACTTTCTCGTCACATGGCCTACTTTTTATTAGTTGGTATATTTCGTCTATATTAACGTGTTTGTTAATTGCATTTTCGTTTGAGTACCAGGCTTCTAGGAATTTCCTGACTGCACTTTTGGTGTTTCCTCTGTCTAAGATTTCGACATTATCCCAATCATCAAATTGATGTCCATAATTATCTATATGCATTGATACTAAAGAATAAATATCGTGTCTTTTCACGGCTCTCTTGGGTAGAACTGAATATTCACTAGTCTGTTTGTAAGCGCAAGACTTTAACAATCATCTTTTCACTTCTGTGAAGAACACTCACCACGCTACGTGAAGACAATGAATACGACTTATCCGAGAGAGAGGGAGGGGATGAACGCTCAGCCACATTGAAAAAGTTTCAAGAGGAAGATGCAAGTCTACCCAGCAGCCTTAGGCTATACCAGACATTTTCTTACAGGGCTTCAACAACACACCTCAATTTCATCCTGTTCTTAGCAATTTTTTTTTCAGATTTCTTCCGCTTATAGTGATTAGCGTTCACTGAACACTATTCAGCCTGGCTAGTAAAAGGAGAACGAAAACGTGTATATCGTTCAGTGACAGAACATCTAGTCAATTCAGGACATGCAGCGCCATTCGAAAAATCCTTCAAAATCATATACAAGATTCGATTAAACCTATCAAAGGGAGTAAAAATGAAGACATCTGGGCATCGCCGAGGCACTAGCCATCCAAAAGCTCAAACCCACGCTATGTCCCTACCATGGCCATCATAAACAGGTAATTTTTCTAATAGTGACTACCTCATTGCCTTCCTTATACAAACGTCCTGTTTATTCGTGTTATTTTTAAGTTTTTCTTAATCTCTATTTACATTACCATGTTTTGATATTCGTCACATTAACTATGATCCCACTAGATTTTTCATCCAAACATCCTATTCTTGTTATTTCTACATTTCTAACCCCAAATTGCACAATCAGTGTCAATCTTCTCAGTAATTATGATACTACTTTGTCTGAGCTTTATCCGTCCCCTGTTTATTATGGCATTTTAATTCCTAATTGTAATTTTATTAATTTGACCCTTGACCAGAAATAATTGTGGAACTTTACCACCCATTTATTATAAATATATGACTGTACAGCTATCTAGTTAATGACTTCATTGAAAAGAAAATTTTCTTCGCTGCAACCGTCTTTTTAATAATTCCTACTATCCAGTTTTACAGATAATATATGTGTACTGTATTAGTTAAACCTTCTTCCTTAGAAGTGGAAACCTAATACGTAGATGCTTCAATCTCCTTGAACTGTAAAGGCTAGTGTAAAAGCCTCATAATCTTGAAACATACGATTTTCTAACCATTAAAATTCTGCAATCCACATTTAATTTCAGATTTCCCTCCCCCTACACCAAAGCATCCTCCCTTTGATATACTTCCCTAATATTTACCTCGTACATTAGACTGTACACACGTCACCGAAACAGCTAATGTGCATACAGAGAAAACGTAGAGTAACTCTGACACTATCCTGAGTACACAATCCATCAAATTCTCAAAAGGATCGAAGACTAAGCATATTACTTACTATATCAAATAAATAACTAACGCAAACCGTCGTTATAATCACAAGGCTTGCAAAGGCGATTCAGTAAAACAAAATACGACGAGCAGTGTATGCACACTGTCACATACAACAATAACTTAACAGATAACTAATCACGCCTCATGTGGTCCTGGAGTTCAATCACAGGCGACAAACGCGAACCTAGACCTCAACTAAACTGGTAGAAAGGCCGATAAAGAGGGAAGAAGGTTAAGCGTGAGGCCTGCAACCCCACCATCCCGTTAAAAACAGAACATACTTCTAGTTTCTTCACACACACACACACACAAACTCAATAGTAAATGGGAATAAAATTCACATTTGAATCAGAAAATGAACACAGAGAATTAGCTGTGATATTAGATTGTAAAATAAAACGAATGGAAGGAGGTAAACTGTACACACTAGCGTTTATAAAGTGTCAACGCATTCAGCTAATAGATATTTCGACTTTAATTCATCTTATCCGTTATCTGTGAAGGCAGGCTTAGTTATAAGTGATCTAACAAACAGAGCAATAACAACAATAAGTAGTCCAAGACAAAACCTAAATGATTAAATGAAACATATAGAAAAAGAAGCGTTAGTGTTCCATAACTATCCTATAAAATTCATCGGAATATCAAAAAAGGTCAAAAGAATTGTGAAAATAGTAGCGAAACTAATAATAATAATAACATAAATAAGAGAGAATATAAGGCATCTACAGTTTCACTATATAAGGAAGGGACATCCGAGGCCCTACATAGGATTCTTAATAAAGCAGGAATTAAGGTGGGACATTCACACCTACAAACTCACTCAAGGACAAGTTCTGTAGGTTGACCCAATTAGACAGAATAATATAATATGCAAAATACCTTGGAATGACTGTGAGTGAGGTCAACTACATAGGTCAAACTAGGAGATCGGGCGGGGGTAGTCAAATTCTCAGAGCATAAGAATTTAGCTAAGGTTAGAATGACTGATCCCACGAAGATAAGTAATTTAGAAAAAAGTTCAGCGCTACAATGCGCTGCATGCATTAACACACAACCGCACAATGGGGTGAAAGAGGGTTAAAATTCTAAAAAGTAATATGGGTAAATGGAGAGAGGTTGATTATTGAATCTTTGTTCATCAAATCAACACACCCAACACGTGCAATAGGAATGACTCATCACTCATACCGGAAATATGGAAAATACTACTTCCAACCCAGTGAAGCGATGAAAAACAATGGAATTATATAAAAGAAGTCAGAAAGTTGTGTGAGTACTGTCTTAATATGATTATGAGTGGCAATAAATTGTACTTGAAACGTGGTCATCAGTAAATACTACTGTATAACACGCTGTGAGGCTTTTTCAAGATAAATTTTCTGCAAAATGGAATTATACTCTATCACAGTAGCCAAGTTCTACTCTCATATCAATAATAACGCCACTGCTACAGAAACTTCAATGCTCAATGCACTTGAAGTCTTATGTCCCACTAGAAACATAAAGGAATACAAAAACAGACGACTTTCAAGGGGTAATTAAGGATAATAATAATACATAAGTATTAAAAAATGTAGGCATCAAATAGTATCGGAGAATGTTAGTACAATAATGAAATGGAAAAACAAAATTTACAACCAGTATAAGTGAATTACACTCACTTGGAGCAGGATCGTCAAACGGGTTGTAATTATCCAACGAATCTTGATTTATGTTACTCTATAAGGTAGGGGAAAAATTTTTCACATAAGTACTTTCTTATGAATAGAAAGCTAATTACTTAATTCTCTATAGGAAGAATTATTATTGGGTAGTAAAAGAGTCTTGGTCAAATGTAGCAGTGATGATGCTACAGGACTGGACTGGACTACATCGACTCCTACCATAAAGAGGGAGAGGGAGTGAAATGGTAGAGACTTCTGACTGCTTCACGTGTTTGGAAAGTTACATAAACCCCAAAGGGTTGATCACTGACGAAATCTCAACACGGATACAAAAGGTTCGTTTTGGCATTTGGCAACTTACGCCATCTCTGGCACAGACGTGATAACCGGGCTGTCAACCTCTATGACTATGAGACATGGCCATTGAAAGTGGGAGGGCTTGGCTAGCTGTCTTTGATCATTTGTATCCGCTTTCAGTCTCCAGTATTAGGTGGTGGGTGTAATAGGGTGAGTAATGTTGAGGTTAGGCCTTGGTCGAGTGTTAGATAAGAAGAAGGGGGAATCAATCGACGAGGTTGTGAAGCTACATCGATTGAAATGTTTAGGATGTGTGTTACGTACGCCTAGCCATCGCCTTCTTCGACGGTAAATGTTAGATGACATAGGATTGATCAGGTTGGAAAAGAGCTGGTGGTGGTCAAACCAAAATATGACATCAATCAAGGAAATCCACAACAGTTAGTTTAAGCCATGCACGTAAGGAGGTGAAGACTTCCTGACTGGTTGGGGTCCTCAGCACAGTAGGAACCTGTGGGTGGAGGCATTTGGTGATATGGCTGGCGCAGATGCATTCACTCTGTGATTTACGACACTCAATCAAAGTACTTTATTGTTCTTCTATATTACTATTCTTTTCCCCTCACTCACACTTCTGTTTATTATCTACCTCTCTTTTGATGAATCTGTCTTTGCTCTCTTCTCTTGCTTTGTGCGCTACATGTGGAATGTGGCAACTCGAACTGCTGCGCATCTATGCAAAGTTCTACATTGACACCAGTCAGTCAGCTACAAGAATTTTATCAATCAACCCCTTTTACGGATTCATCACAGGAGGCAAAAATTAAATTATTACAGGATACTTAAATACACTGATGAATATGAGCCATTCAGTTGTATTTAAAAAAAAGCTGATGATTGCCATCGATCCTATGCCCATCACTCCACAACCGACAACACTGGCTTCACAGAGATCAAGGAGACAATCAACAACAACACCATTCTTATTGGTATAGTTGTGTTCTCCAAACTCGATGATTTATTTGTGAAGCTTTTATTGTCTTTATAGACATCTGCAGCGTAGACTTTAATACGAAGAGAGACTGTTATAACAAACTTCCTCTCCTACTGACTTTGAATGTGATTGTCTGTCTGCTTTTCGACATAGAACTTTGCACATATGTAAGGCAGTTGAAGTCGCCACACTCCATGTAGGAGAAACACAAAATAGAGACATAACAGGGATATGAGATAAAAGGAATAGTAATAACGAAGAACAATATAGTTTCTTTGGAAATCATAAGTCACAAGGAGTGAATGCATCTGCACCAGCCATTGAGAACAACTTTGAGCCATATCACCAATTGTCTCCAGTCATTAGTGTTTACCGTCCCGAGGACCCCAACCAGGAGGTCTACATCTTCCTACGCGTTTTGAAGAAATTTGATTCTATAGACAACTTTGAAGTTCCTTTGTGGGTTAGCTTGATGTCCAGATTCGATCAGGTGTGTCCAGGATAGATCTGTGGTGGAGGGGGGCATCTTTTTCCTCCTTTATAAAACCCTGAGGGTGTGTTCGATGACACGTGTTTGGATAGCAAACTCTGGGTACAACGGATATACCTAGCTTCACATGAGCAGGTGAATTGCTAGATGCACATTGATGAGGCCGGTCAACAGTGGTAGCTTATCTTTCACGTTCATGCGAATCATTGGTTTTGTAGAGAGGGTTAGTCGAAGTTCAGCAGCAAAGAGGGTTTTCTTCAGTGAGCGGGACAGGCAGTTTCTCAATATTTCTGCCGATGAGTCTCCAGTGAATCGTAGATTTAAGTAGAGACGCTCTTTGGGAGTAGAAAGTGTGGGCAGTTTTAATAGTGTAGGCCTCATGGATTTTGTGATGAAACGTTCTGTGTAGTCATTTTCGAGGAGGATTCTTTTCAGAATGTTCAGATTCTCTTCCATAGTGTCAGGGCTGCAAATGCTGCGGGTTCTGTGTCTTAGTGAACAGATCAGGTTTCTACGAGTTGATCATGGATTGACATCAGTTAGAGAACCATTGATAACCAGGGAGTACTGGAGAGCTGTTTCATCCTAGTTTGGGAATCATCGGCAGTACGCACCCGCTGGGATTAGAACCCAGAACCTTCCGGTTACAAGGCAAGCTGGTATACCATTCAGCCACTGGGACCCGATTCAATGGCTCAGTTTTCGTTTTGTATATAGAGGTACCCAACTCTGAAAGTTAGCGAGTTGTTGGTTCTATGTCGACTTTCTGTAGATGGATCTTTTTCAACAGCTGTCATCCTGCGATTCAGTTCACATTAGAGAAGTAATCCGATAGAAAAATATTTTTTCTGGACTTTCAATTAACGAGATATGAACAAGGCGTAATAATAAAAAGTCCAGAACGTCCTACAAGTTCTTCTCATTATCTCTAGTAAAACCGAAAAGTATCTATTATTTTATATACGAAGGTAGTTACTGGCGTATTTGACCTGCCCATTGTCAACAGAGTAATCACAACCAGTATAAATGACCAAAGGGCGAGAAAGTCATCGTGAACAACTAATCACTAATAGGCGTCGAGTGCTAGGTAAGGAGGGGAAATCAGTCGACGAGACTGAAATTACATCTATTGAGATGGTTGGGACATGTGTTGCGTATGCCTAGTCATCGCCTTCCTCGATGGCCAATGTTAACTGACATAGGATCAGGTTGGAAAAGAACTAGCGGCGGTCAAACCAAAACATGGCTTTATCAGTCAATGAAATCCACAACAGTTAGTTTAAGCCACGTAGGAAGGTGGAGACTTCCTGGTTGGAGTCCTCGGGACAGTAAAAACCAATGAAGGCTGAAGAAAATTGGTGATATGGCTCAAAATCATTCTCAATGGCGGAGATGAATCCACTCCTTGTGACTTATGATTTCCAATGAAACTATATTGTTCTTCGTTATTACTATTCCTTTGTCTCACACCTGTGTTTACTGTCTCTAATATGCATTTCTCTTACTTTCTTCTCTTGCTTTGTGTGCTACATGGAGTGGGGCGACTTGAACTGCTGCACACCGGTGCAAAGTCCTATTTCGAAAACAGACAGACAATTGCACAGCTTGAGAATTATATTGTCGAAAAGAAGAGTAACTCTTCACTGAAGAACGCCTCTTCTCTTATATGACTCAATGGGGATTTTCAAATTGCTTACAAAATAATTCCATGAAAAGTTTTCCTGGATAAATAAGCTTTAATTAGCTAACTAATACACAATAAAATACACGCTGACAAACTGCACTTCAACAGTTTGGTGATTATTGAGTACATATATATATATATATGCTTTGAGGCTTAAAAGCAAGTACTGTTGAAAGATTGACAGTTGCTTGCCTGTGTCTGCAGCTACTCTTTTGGGTGAACTGTTGGAGTTTATTTAAAAAAGCCTAGGGTGTTACACCACCTGGTGACATATGATAGCATACAGTTATTTAGTATCTGTTAATTCATGACAAATCTTTGAGTAAATGTCGGAGAGATATAGCGGTTCACTGCTTCGATATATCATATAAGATATAACTGGCGATCATATTGTTGCTTACTTGTTTTCTCAGCTATAGGAAATAATACAATGTAATAGATACCCCCTGTAAAAAGGTAATTAACTATTACGCTCGCTTTACGCTACACTAAGTCTGTCGTTGGACAAACAAATAAAATAACAATTTTCAGAGTATGAATTCGCTAAACTCTATTTGACTGCAAAAAATGTAGCTGCTTCACTTGGCGAAGTTCATGGTAGACAGAAATGTAACCAAGAACTTATTCATTGACTGAACCAATAGCATAGTTTCAATCGATTAACCCGACAGTTCATTTTTTATAAATTATCAAGTTGAATTATGGGAAGAGTCACCTGTTCAAAAAAATAATCCTATATATATATATATATATATATGCAGTCAATCGATTAGATCCTGTCCCAGCTACCTTAGTCTGGCCAACTAAGTAGTATCATAAACCTTCGATATGTCGTTCATTCAAGCTCTGGTTCTAATTTGCAACCCTTCACCTACTCCTATTCTAAGGTGTACGAGCGAGATAGTTGAATATGTTGACCACTTGTTTGCAAGTTGTTTCAGGTCTACTGGTCTGGTTGTTGGAGGAATCTCAATGTGAATCCAGTAGGTTCGTAGGAATATACCATCTTCCTCATTTGTGTCACAGTAGAGCTCATGGGTATTGCGCAGCACTAAAACATTTCGCATTTTAGGGTTGTAGAACGTGGCCGCATAAGGTGTGATAAATGAAGAGACCAACGAATTTCAGCCACAGTTGTCGTATTTCATTTGTTCACCACCTTATGTGCTTGACGACAATGTTAGAAATAAAGTATTAGGTAAGGTGGGGAATTCAGTCAATACGACTTTAGAGTTCCATCAGGAGAAATGACTAGCACATGTGCTACACATGCTGAGCCACTATGTGTCTCGATTTTATTTTTATTTATTTAAATCCTATGCATTCTTACTGGAACGTAGGGCTTCAAGAATAAGCTTTGAAGCTTGAGTGGCTGGCGAGCATTCTATCTCTGCGCTGCCGATGCACCGAAATATGATAAGCTTGGCAATTACACACATCAGTATGAGGCAACTTTGCGTAGCTAAATTAATGCATTGATTTTATGTCAATTGAGCTATCACTTGCGGGTGGCCATTAGAACATGTCGCTACTTTGGAGTTCGATTCCCGGCCGACGTATTTCTAAACCTCGCTTAGCTGACTATAAGTCCGGTACAGAGAGAAGGTTGGGTGTGAAACTAGCAAGCAACCTCAGCCCGTAAAAATAAACACCACTGCTACTGAAACTCCAAAGATTAAGCTTGAAGCCCCCTATGTTCCAGTAAGAATGTATAGGATTTAAAAAAACTAAAATCGAGATAAATAGTGGCTCAGCATGCGTACCGCATGTGCTTGTCATTTCTACTGATGAAACTCTAAAGTCGTATCGGCTGAATTCCCCCCCCCCCACCTTACCTAATATTTTATTTTTAACATTGTCATCAAGCACATAAGGTGAACAAATGAAATACGACGACTGTGGCCGAAATTTGCTGGTAACTTCGTTTATCATACCTTATGCGCCCAAGCTCTACAACACTAAAAGGCGGAAAGTTTTAGTGCTGCGCACTAACTATGAGCTCTGCTGTGACACAAATGAGGAAGATGGTATATTCCTACGAACCTACTGGATTCATATTTGAGATTCCTCCAACAACCAGACCAGTATACCTGAAACAACTTCCAAACAAGTGGTCAACAAATTCAACTATCTCGCTCGTACACCTTAGAATAGGAGATGGTTAAGGGTCGCATATTAGAACCAGGATTTGAATGAACGACACAATGAAGGCTTATAATACTAATCAATTGCAATGACTAAGGTAGCCGGGACACGACCTAATCGATTGACTGCATATCCACATACGGAGGGATCACTGTACATGTAGAAAGTCAAATTTTCAAAGAATGAACCCCTTGAATGGTTTTGGGGTGGACAATTTCAGGATTGCTCTATATCAACTTATGTGTCAAGGTAGAAGGTAGCGCAGGGAAACACATTAGCAATGCACTCCTATCCACCAATAACACTTGACTTAGGCAACATGCAGTCTGACCATAGTCCCAATGAAACTGTCGCCGTAGTGAAACCTGAGTAACGCCTTCTAACCAGGAAAGCCCACTAGATCACTGAGATATGCGAGCCCAATCGTCACTTCAAAGTAGTAACTGCCGGTCGGTTATGTGACGCGAGAAATTTACCAATGCCTTTCAGACACACGGGATTCAACGGGAATATACGTATTATGTATATTACAGACAGATTTCCCAATAAGGACTGACGTCACAATTAGACAGCATTATAGTCAGTCACCAGTAAGCTGAGAAGGAATTCATCCACCAGGAATCATTAAAAATTGCCCACTACTATGGAGCATTGTTATTCCTTACGCTATGTTAGCAGCGATGAGATTCGCGAAGTTAGTGACACGTTTATATTAACGCTGAAAACAAAATGCACTAGCACGACCGTTTTGAAATAGTTATGCATATGAAACATGGACCACACAACTACAAACGATTAGTTTTGTCTTCCGGATTATAAACCCAAATTATATTAGACCTCACATGAAGTACAGAATTCAAGTGATAAACCAGCTTTCTTTAGAAAACCAACAAGACGTTTATGATCTTTTCCTCTTACTTAATTAGTCGTTGAAATTTAGTCCCATTTGTCATTCGTAATTTAGTGCCGACTTATTTTCCGCATGTTAAAGAGCTACCGTATTTATATGTATCATAAGGAATCACAGTAAGTGCGGTCAGAATACCTTCGTCTGAAAGTCTGTGTCGGTGGCACAGCGGTTAGGACGCTCGCCGACCATGTACATGGTCCGGGGTTCGATCCCCAGCCGATACACACCTGGTATCATATGCTGAAAATTCTACACTTGTCTCGAAAATAGTGCGGAATCAAGCCATAATGAAATAAAAATAACGCCCAGAAGGAGCCAGAATTATTTCTGAAGCAATTCTGTTCCCATGAAGCACGAGGAGAGCTCCACATTAGACTTGACTGTATAAACTGAAGTAAACTTCTAAGCACATCATTGATATTCTCGGAAAGGGAAACTAGGAAAACGTCTCATGTGGAACCATAACGTCGTCATTGTTACTTAGACACACGGTGTCAAACAATTCCGGACAAGACACTCACAGTGGAAACCCTAACTACAAACTGGAGTTAACAACAGTGTGAAACAAATAACTGAAATCACACCGCTTAACCATTAAGACCCTAGTGGTCATGTGGCGTGATTCATGAATGAGTCACACCGTGAATTCCTTCTATCAATAATAATAGGTAAACAAATTTCGATTTCTTCGCGTTTTGAAATATACTAAGTTGTTACGAGACCCAACAGTGCATAAAAGAGCTACTAAAAAAATATGAAAAACCCACCATCAGCAAACACTATCGTCTGTCCCGCGTTTACAATTCAGTGTGTATCCATCCATTAAAAGAAGAAACGTAACGAAATTGAATCCGCTATTTCAGGTGCATGGATTCATCTTGAAAGTACATATCCTTTTCTCTAAGCGTGAATGCCGAGTTCAGCTGAGCAAATATCAAGTAACTTTATGATTTACTCGTACAAAACTTGTGATTTTATGCGGCTCATTCAGCATGGTTTCGGAACTCCCCGAGATATTCTTTTGATCTCGGTAAAACCTATCAAGCTAGTGCATTTTGTTTTCAGCGTCAGTATAAACGTATCACCAACTTCGCGAATCTCATCGCTGTATGTAAGTAGAAAAGAGGATGACTTGTATCGAACATGTATTCCGCTAACATAGCGTAAGGAATAACAATGCTCCATAGTAGTGGGCAATTTTTAATGATTCCTGGTGGATGAATTCCTTCTCAGCTTACTGGTGACTGACTATAATACTGTCTAATTGTGACGTCAGTCCTTATTGGGAAATCTGTCTGTAATATACATAATACGTATATTCCCGTTGGATCCCACATGTATGAAAGGCACTGGTAAATTCCTCGCGTCACATAACCGACCGGTAATTACTACTTCGAATTGACGATTGGGCTCGCATATCTCAGTGATCTAGTGGGCTTTCCTGGTTAGAAGGCGTCACTTGGGTGTCACTACGGCGACAGTTTCATTGGGACTAAGGCCAGACTGCACGTTGCCTGAGTTAAGTGTTATTGGTGGATAGGAGTGTGTTTTCCTGCGCTACCTTCTCCGTTCACACAGAAGTTAACATAGACCATTCCTGAAATTGTTTGCCCCAACTCTTTTCAAGGAGGTCATCCTTTGAAAATTACTCCTTCCAAGGGAGAAAAATCCTGCTCAACAACATTCCATGTTTTTGGAGAACCGCGCTCTCTGAATCATGTTTGCATTTTAGAAGCTATTCATCTTATTTGCGTAATAACTAATTTAGCACTTTTATCGCACAATGAAACAGCATTATTTAGTGGATGATTACGTTTGGATCACTTTTTATCCGCTCTTGATAATCATATCGATGATATGCTTGACTTTTGTGGTTTCATTTTTTTTCCTTATTTGACGTAGGGGGAGAAGAATTGTGCAGATGTTTGGGCCAACAGATGTTGAATCATTCCTATTAGATGTGTTTTCAGTTGATTCAATAATTAAATCTTCCATTATCAATCTCTCTCTACCCTGCTACATAAGATCTTAAAACTCTCATCTTATTCTATCCCATCCTCTTTTATGATGGTAACTGTATGTTGTACTGTGTAGCTGAACTATTCTCTAGATTTCTTATCTTGTTCGGTTCAACTAATCTAGTTTTTTCTAGGTTTTTATGCTCAGGTGGTCTGGCTGACTACACTCTGCCACAGTGGTCATGTGCTTTTAACCATGATCGGTATGACACAGGGTATTAGATGATCTAAATTGTGTTGTCTGATTGGATCCACAGGGTTCTCAAACCAACAAAGCCTCTTTCTAATTGAGTTTGTGGGTTTGAATGCCAGCCACTTTTATTCCTGCCTTGTTAAGAATTCTGCGTAAGGTTTCCGAGGTTCCTTTTTTGCGCAGAACTACTGATGATTTATATTTTCTTTTGTTGGTGTTAGCATTATAAAAGTATGTGAAATCATTTTATAGACGTACAGTTGGGGTTAATGTAGGGGCGCCACACTGTTATGCCGTCTTGTAGGTAGTATCAGTCTCTGTAAATATTGTTCTCTCTGGGACGTTTGTTTCAGTCATGAGTAAATCATGTTCTGTTGACATGAGAGTTTCTAACCAATGACCCACTGATAGAGTGCCTGTACTGCATTGGTTGACCTATAAAAATCGAGAAAATTTTTATGCTTCAATTTTTTATCAGTGATCACCGCATAAGGAATAGGATAAAGAAAAAGCAAGCACTTCGTGACTTCGCAATTAATAAAGAGGTGTTTGGATTTGTGCAGAGTTGCACAGTGTGAAGAAATGAAACTGAATACGGATAAAAAACGTTTGAAGCATTAGGTGCGATACAGAGAAAAGCCAGGAAGAAAAGTAGCTGCCAGTACTTAATAACCTGTTGTTGTGTGATTGCACCAATTTCCGATTCCGATGCACCTATTGACATGCCCAATGTATCTACAGGATCATGATGAACAGACTGCAGCATCAGTGACGGCTTTGCATGCCTTACACTGTTATTTCGTAGATACTCCCAGATTTGAGCACATCATATTGCATTCAGCTGTTACGACACTGATATAACTAGTGAGAATTATGTGAACTTATAAAGTAAAAACGGACAGTCAAACAAATAGATAATGAAACTTAATAATTAGAAAGTGAATTATTATAGCAGTATTCAAAAGGGTAGAACAAAACAGACTCTGCAGAGGTAAAGGACTGGTTTAGGTAATAACAATCAGTGGAGTAAGGTTGTAACGACAGGAAACAAGAACAAGGAAATAGAACTTTTATTGAGAAAATAAAGCGATATTTTTGGATTTTTACGTACATTACTGTCAGCAGAGAAGTGACGTATTCTGATCGGTTTTTTTCTTGCTGAATGTTATTCTGCACTGCTTGTGACCGTTTCTGAGAAAGTTAAGCCATATATTTGCGAATCCTATTTGCACACGTTAAGTCCACTGTGATTGGTTGGTGGGTTCTTCAAGGTTGAGCTTTTTTATCGTTTTTCTCATGATCCTGATCCTGGACGTAGCGTTGGCGTAAATTGCTGTCTACAGTTTTGTGGCTTTGTTAGTTTGTACTCCTGTATCAAATTCCGGCACTCACTGACGTTCCCACACTCCTCTTTGTTTGCATTTCTGATCGTTTGCACGTGACCCCGTCTCACGTAGACCATGTATGGTCCCTCCAACTTTGTAAGCAGTTTGTGTGACCCTAGTGCGTATTCGCTGATGTTTTGCCTCACGCTTTCATACTCCGCCTTCGCTCGACCTTCCAGCAGCGTTTCAAGTAACGGCCACATCGCTGACAGATCTGGAGTGCCACTCAACTGCGTAACGGCCTAGAAGTCATGCCCGAAAATCCATGTCTCCATCAAAAACTGTAGGGCCTAGGCTTTCCATGTGTATGCATGCAGTGACACCAAATGTAACGACAGACGACAAGAGCCAGGCAACGATCCATCTCAAAATGGTAGTTCTTCCAGCAGCAGAAACTGTAGAAGCATGAGGCGAGGCTGCAAACTATTCAAAGGTAAGTTTTATGAGAGAGATAAAGACTAATAACCAAAGTGTGGAAAAGAGGGCACAACATATAGAGCAGGAAAGCAATTGAAAAAGTAGCCGAATGATAGATATTAATTTTGATTTGGCATAACATCTATCCACTTTAGCAAAGAAAAACCGCATGAATTAGATTGAACAGCTGAAAAAATGAATACGCTGAAAAGCACCTTCTGTGAACTACTTGTCAGAAATTATAACAAAAAAAGCAAGCATTGTGGGAACTCATTCCCTCGGATCATAATTTTCATCCTGAGATTGAAAATGGCTCCCCTAACAATACGTAATCGTTTAACCTCGACTTGAATCTGTTGAATGGCTGAATAGTAACTGAGTATTGAGTAGGTAATTCCTATTTAGTGACAGCAGTGTCGAACGTCAGGCCCTTGAGTGGAACCTTGGAGAGAAACGATGGTCAGATTGTCTGATTGTGGAGGGAATTGAAGTGTCAGGATGGATAAAGTTGGATGGAAATTACCTTCGCAGCTGATGCATCTGACTATAAATCGATGCAGTTACCTCATGCGTGCTGCCGAGTGGCTTTGAAAGGTCAATGAAAACGCATTCGGAACTCTGAAAATTGCTGAGCGGAACAATCGTAGTGTAGAGTAAGGTGCCATGTTTTGCCCCGACTACCATGAAGTCTTCGACGACCAAGTTTTGTGTCAGTCACTATTGGTAAGCCAAGAAAACGAAGGTTTGGTATCCATAGTACTCACCTCAGACAGATTGATCCGTGCAACTTTACAACGTCGTAGATTGATTTACCCTCCTCACCTCTCCGTCTAACCTCAGTACTACCATATTATACCGCTTGACACGGAAGATAGGAGGGAAAAGCTTATAGTCATAGACCGCTATTCTCTTCACGTTTTCCGTAGTCAGTCGGGCGTTTTAAAACAGAATTTTCTATGCAAATGACTCCCAATTACTGAGCTACAGCCCGTAATATTACCGGGGACTAATGGTGTTCTTGAAGGCATGAAAGAGGGCAAATTAGGCGAGAAACCTTATGAAACACATAGAAAGGGCATTTGTGATTCAATGGATAAAGGAAGCCTTATTATTCATGAGAAAGGCGTAGTTCATACTTGGTCACTTTTCCTATCCTTTTGAGTTCCCTAATCCCTTACTACACCTGATTGTCCACAGCATGTTGTGTTGAAAATTATGTATGCCACATGCCTTTGCAAAAAATGTTAATCAGTGTTTCCCAACAAACTCTGGTGGTTCCTCTCTCAGGAAATTTCTGATCATTAGTTATTGCATAGGCCGCTATTTTTGCGAGACTCTGAATTCTCTGAAATGAAATTTGCGGTAGCTAAGCAACAGTTTACTCTTATTTCTGTACTGTAGCAGAATAGTAAATTGTAGCATTACGAAAAAGTATCCATCGGAAGCAGCTAGAAATTATTCGTGGTTCTATCTTGCCAAATTTATGGCGGGGGTGAGCGGTGAAGAATAATAATTGCAGACTTTTTGGAAAAATAATGAACAACTCCCAGATAGTGTCACCTTAAGCTGAAAATCTGTGTTTCCCTATCACAGCGACAAATACAGTTTGTCCTACACAATTTATGGTGTATTTGGACTATGTTTCTGAGCTTTTCAAGCCCGGTGTGGGATTCAAATTCTCCAACGAGAAAAAATGTTTTGAAATTCCCTCAAGATCAGTTTCCTTTGGTAACCAATTGTGGGCAGAAATGTTGTTC